ATAGCTTTGCTACAATGAGCAAGAACGCATATTGTCGACAGTTCGTCCGTATGTGTGTGTGTGTGTATGTGTGTGCGTCTGTGTGTCTGTGTTCGGAAGCGAGTGAACTTTGTCATCCACTTTCAACTCACTCCATCTTCAGCGATATTACTCCTAGATCCCAATAAAGTACCTTACTGACTTTCGTAAATATTTATTTAAATTCTTCCTCTTTTCCTCGTAAATTAGCATATGTCAACCAAGTCTGATGCCATTTTTGCTACATTTTAAGTTCTCCAATTCAGACTTTTACAACTGATCTTACACGCGTGTAATTTCAGCTCCCCCTGAAGGTAAAAAATAAAGCAATATTATAAAAAATTGCTAAAACTAGTATTCAACAAATCCAGCGTTTAATTTTCTAAAAAAAAAAAAAACCATCGTTTATTACTCTAAAAAAAACCACTGCTGTAAAAAACTGATCATATCCTGTTATGGGGGTGCAAAAAAAATACCTTAACAGTGTTGTCTGAGCCACATAAGTTGACAAAAATTTCAATAACTGCTTCGTGAAGTGCTTTCATCTCTTGTTTAGCAAGTTTCGCCTCTCGTTCTTTGTCATCCATTTCGGCAACCGAGCCACCCAGTAAATCTTCCGTTAAATTTTGTGATCCTTCATGCATAAACCTTAAATGTTTTAAAATTTTTTTAGCATCTTATTTTAATATTTTGATTAACTACTGCTCTATTACCGTATCGCAGACTTCGCTCTATCAATTGTACCTTGCAACCTTTCTAGGGCTGTTGTAATTGGATGTTTCAGAAATTTTAAATATGCAAACAATGAATATCTCTGGCTAGGAGATTGGAAGTGGATGGGAGCCTGAAGTCTTTTATGTGTTAATAACATATGCAGTTTGTTTGGCGCTGTTGGCCTATCAGCGTGGAGAGGAACACAATCGAAATTTTGATAATTGACGAAAAACTGGAAGTGCCATTTAGATCTCCCAAATAAGCAAGCCTGTATGTACAGTGAGCCGGGAACTTTATCTCTGTATTCTCAGCTCTGCTTTTGATCGAACGATTTGTTTTTTTTTTTTCCTTTTTTTTTTGCTATCTTTCTTCAAAAGAGATACGCTTGTTGTTTCACAATATTCCACTTCCACATTCGAACATGACGTGCTAAACCATTACACCACCAGTTTCGTGCGCCAAAAATAGCCAGTGAGCACGTTTATCGTGTATCTGCTTCAAAGGCAGCATGTACAAATCCTTTCTTGCCTGTTTTTTGTTACGTAGTGTAGTTTTTGCAGCGATTTTTTTTTTGCCAGCTTTTCTCGGGTTTTCGCGACACCCTATTCCCCCTAAACACTTGAACCGTTGGCCAAAAAAAAAGAAGAAAAACAGCAGAAGAGCGCTTACCTGAATGATGTTTCCGCTAAATCACCCAAATTTTGTGCCAGAGTCATTCGTACCAAAAAATGCTTGTCTGATGACATATTTTTCTGCAACACAGTTACTATGCGTTTTTTGCAACAATGCAATGCAAAAAACGCATATTGACGAGAGGTTGTCTGTGTGTCCGT